CACATTACAATAAAATTGTTTTGACAACCGATTGGCAAAACATTTGAAACATGATTTTAAGCATTTTCATATGATATTAAACTTGAATCTATGACAACAGGAAAGTTAGTGACTGAACGAAAATAATAGATTTACAGGATGTTCATGCAGCAGTCTAAACTTGTATCGATTTACAACAAGAAAGTCAGTTACTGAACTGAAAGAACATGATACCCAACATGTTCTTGCACCATTCAACACTTCGAAAGTAACAACAAGGAAGTCAGACACTGAACTAAAAGAACTTGATAACTTGCATGTTCATACAACATTCAAAACGTAAATCGGTAGTAACAAAAAGAAAGTCACTTACTAAACTTAATGAACCTGATCAAAAGATAACTGGAATGTAAGTTACTGGATTAAATGAAGATGGAGTAAACGTATTAATTAAAACAATCGACAGTTTGTAAAGAAAACTTGACAATACAAGTAAAACAATTGTAAACACATATTTTCAATCGAATAACAAATCTTTCAATTTGGTAACACTTCTTATCATATACTGACTCAAGATAATTTTGTGAAAAGTTGTTAATATAAAAACTTTGAAGAAACGCACGTAGCATCAATAAATATAATAATAATAAAAAAAAAATAAAAAAATTAATGTCTAAGACCAAAAGGCCAAATTTACTTAAAGGAAAAATGGTTTTCTAGAATTACATTTATTTTTATATCTCAAATTATTTTTAATTTTTATGTCCTCTTAAAATTTTTAAACGATTACTTACTTATTGAACCATCTTTTGCCCAAGTTACAAGGAGTTCGAGTTAGTATTTTGTGTGGAAGTCAAAATACAACACTATTTATATTTTCTCTGCATTTATTACAAATACATGTGTAATTTCATATTCATCCCTACTCTCTCCATGTGTTCAGCATTTGATATGCTCTTGAACTATTATTTATACGTTAAAAACTCATATTTGCCATTTATTATTCGTTCCTTAGGCAAAATGTGCCTTTTAAAATGTTTCACTGACAGTTTTTCGTTACACTGGACATTATTACAATACATTATACATACATTTTAACATACATGATTCTATCACAGACACCCGGGGGTCAGACCTAAAACTTACCCTTGATTCAGTTAACTCATGAATTTAAAAGATCCCGTTTATAAACAAATTTTAACATAGAAAGGATTGCAAATTCAAAAACGTACTACGTAAACTGTATCTGTTTAAATAAAAAGTACCCTGACCGTTTTTTTTTCTCTGTGTGCGACATAATGTTAAATTACATTTCGTATGGAATAACAATTAGTGTTTCTAAAATTGTATCGTGATTCAAACATTAACATTTTATTGATTTCTAGTGTTTCTAAAATTGTATCGTGATTCAAACATTAACATTTTATTGATTTCGGAAGAAGAGATTGCTTTCTTTCCATGCAATACGAGAAAAATCCCATACATTCCAACATGCGTTTATAAAACTTGGATACAGTCGGGATACAGTTTGAGTCCCGGCTTAGAAAACGGTCCCTTTTCTTATTTGTTGGACAAAGAAATTGTGTTTTCATTTCGAAGTCTGCATTCTTAATTGTTAAAAAAAATAGAATTTTTAATCGTGTGAAAATGGTTTTAAAACAAGTAGTTTTATGGTTAAGACGGACCCGTGCGTAATTAATGTAAACATGTTACTACGTACGTATGTAATATCTGTTTAATGAGGGTCCATCCGCCCGTTGAGGCACTAAATGCAGCTTTCACTGTCGAGTTCGGACAGTTTTCACTGTCACCAGTCATGTCCTGAAAGAGTTAAGTTTAAAACACAAAAATGTGATAATTTACCTCCATGTAATTTTCCATGGAATATCAGCCAAAGGTATGAATTTTGAGCCAAAAGGAAGTCACTGTACTGCGGCCAATGAGAACCTAAGTACAGTAACCTGAGACAATATGAAAAGGATGAAGCCCTAAAAAGTGCGGTTGTAGCCAAGTAAAAGGTATGTCTTTCAAGCCTAGTCTCAATATTTCGACTGCAAGACCGACCGATTTTATAATCTGATTTTTCATAGATGTGTGTCGCGAAGGGCGACCATCGTCTATATAATAAAAAGCCTTAAAGCGCACAATTTGTTGGGCTATTTCAAGCCGTAACTCTGTACTTGGGGCTCACTGCCACGTATTAGGACCAATCCCCCTCGGACATCGGCAGCTAAACGGGTTCGAATAACCGGAGTCTACAGTATGCATCTCTTAGCTCCAGAAGGTGAGGTGGTTTTGATTCCTGGTGTTGCTTTTATGTATGTAACATCCGAGGTTGGCAAGAATGATCTTACAATTTCGGCATCATATAACCAATTCTGTGTTGTTGCGCGGCAAAACCAAACAACGAACAATGTCGTATCGCCTGAAACGTTATTCCGATCTGTAGAGAGCATGTGAACTTGCCGTCTTACTCCTCAATCATCTGCTGATGACCTGTGCCTTCTCAACAAAGTGCACTTACCCGGAGGAAGAGAGAAGATGTTACTTTGCTTATCATGTTGTTTTTTATTGACAGTTGACAGGTACGAATCAAGCCGGTGCTGGGTATGAACCTTAGTATCTTATGACTTTGTGATGAATGACAGATGTTGTATGAGTACGCACTTTACGTCAAAGAAGGAAATCTACGACGTACGCTTTACGGTTATTTCAATAAGACCTCTTTCTTGCATTATTCAATGGATACTTAAATGAAACTACATTGAAGTCCAAAAGCTTAAAAAAACATAAATTTGAAAATTAAGGCTTCATAGATCAACCGGGGCACTTTAAATGGAAATGATAGGAAAAGACAATAAAGAAATAAACTCAAAGCAATATTGAAAATCGATAATTAATACGTTTCTTAGCTCGATTAAGACACGTTATTCAATTTTAGGTTATGTTATTTTGAAGAATAAACACTATTACTTTGTGAAAACGAATCGAGTTCGAATGATCTGAAGAATGATCTGCAGTTTGCACATACGTTTTTGGTATGGACCTACATCAAATGGTAAACAGTGTTTTTTTTTTGAATTCCCGGTTGAACAGCGATTCCTGATATTTTTAGTAATGTTTGCATTTGTTTCCAAGAATATACCAGATAAAACAGAGTTCGCATTTTTTTGGCAGGAAACTGTCTGTTTTCATATTTACTTCCGGCACATTTACGGACTATATGTATTTGTTTTTTTCTTGGTACATGTATTTGCCAAAAATTCTATCAGTTGCTATGCAGTTTTCAAGAACTTCATCCGATCGGTAAACACAAGTTGTTGATTAGAAATTTTCAAAATTGTTCTTTAAAATTTTAAATGCCCAATTTTAAGTCGCTTCTAGTTTAATTTCTCATCTTTTAAGTTTTTTAAGTTCTGTGTATTCTTGCGTAATACCTGATGACTTAAAGATTTAAGTGTGTGTTCATTCAGGACTTCATTTCTTGGCGAAAGAATTAAAAATGTACTACTTGCCAGCATATATGACCTTTTTAAACTTATAAATTTCTACAGTGACACGACGTACTAAACTAAATTTATGAAAAAAACAAAACATTTTGGGTCTCAATTTAGCCTCAAATGATGTTATTTTTCCTTCAAATATATTGGTCAAAAATTGAATGGACCAGCTCCTCAATATCAAAAAGATGATGAATATTAAAATTAAATTTTGGGTGTGTTACATGTGGTAATATAAGTAATATCAATAGAAAGCGTATAAATTACCTAGCAACGGTTAAACGTTCATTTATTGTATTCTTACTTGTTTCAAACATCTGGTGTTTTTTTTACTCTCAATTTATCCAATCTTTATCAGATATGCAATATAACAATGTTGTCCGTCGTTTAAATAACACCGGGAAAGGGCTATTGTGAATTTTGCCACAATATAATTATGCATTATTCGGTTTACAAAATGAGGCATTGTTAGCATAAGTGTCATTTTAAAGAAGGGTTGCCCGGTTGTATTACGCACAACAAGACAAGATAAATCTGTTTGTCGCTTTTAAGCATAGAGTAACAAGTTTTGCGAAAGTGTGATCCCATTGCTCGAAAATGATCTTCGTGCCAGCAACCAAATATGAAAGCCGTCGGCAGCAGAAACGCATATGGTCATCAGTGGCAGGAACGCATACATAAAAACCTATAGACCACGACAAAAGACAGACCTGCACATATAAGACAATGAGATCTGCTGCAGTATTTTGTTAATAATCATATATTTGTATAAGATAATGTTCGTGGTAATGTTCGTCGGAGGGTGGGGTTGGAGTCGGGGGTAGGGCGAATAGCACCGACTCTATTAAGATCATATGGCGACTGTTCAACTTTACTGGTCCAAGAAGACCTCGGGTGCCCACTCGCACGTTATTTCAGACCCAAATCGACACCTGAATAAGAAAATCTGTAAACTAGTAAGGTAGCATTCTTACATGTAGAATGAAATTCCATGGTGGGAATCGATCCCACTGAGATTAAAGGACAAGTGCTTCAAAGTCACCTTAACTACTCGGTTGGTCACTGAGATCTCAGTATAGACATTCATCGCTCGAGAAAAAAATGTTTTTCTAAGGGTTGGGGTTGTTTCTTTTGTAGTGATTTTTGTTGTTGTGTTTTTTTTTTTTTTTTTTTTTTTTTTTTTTTTTTTTTGTGCAATATTTTTTATTTCATTTTGTTTATTTATTCCTTTATCTTTTATTTATTTTATTCATTAATTGTTATTTATTCGTTTACTCGTATCTTGGTTGAAGTATCTCTGCTAATTTATTTTTGTTGGAGCAATAGGTGATTGAACATATGATCCTTACAACAGCAGTGTCGACAGACCAATGAGACATTTCTCAATTATCAAATCTAACAATAATTTTTCTTGATTTTATTTTCAAATTTGAACCAATTTAGAGCAAAATGCATGTTGCTGTTTTTGTTAAATTTCGTCCATAGTTTCTCAAAATCATTCTTCTTAAAACAGTTTCATGGTCAGATAGAATTTTTTGAAGCGGCAGCATTTTGCATCAATTTTAGCATGCCTGCGATTCTAAACTTGGCGTATTCTTGAAATTGTTGGAGCAGCTGCCGAAGTGTCTTGTCTACATCGTTATTGTCAATAGTTGCAGTACCTTCTTCTTGGTGTGTGCCATCCGGTTTCGCATGATCAAAGTATTGTTCATCCACGATTTCATATGCTCGTTTTTCTTTATTGTTCTTTACTGAAGCATAGACTGATCCTGGCTCGGAGATAAAGTTGCCGCTATCACTTTCCTTTCTGTTCTTAAATGCACCAATCAATTCATCAACATGTTTATCACTTGCTTCATTTTCAACACTGTCCTGTGTAGATTTCATCATCTGCATAAGCATATTCATTCTGATAACGCCAATATCTATATCATCCAATTCATTACCATCCTCCTTCCCTTCAACGCCAATGTTCCTGAAAAAATCATTCTCAGTGCCATCCATTTTTATGTCAATGTTTTTTTCTTGTTCATTAGCGCCTTTGTCTACATTGTCGCTGTCTTGCTCTCCATCGTGCATGTACTGGACTTTATTGTCGATATTAACCCTTCTATTGTCTCCAATCTTCACGTTTTTTGCCATGGTATTTATTGCTTTATTGACGTCATAAAGTACGTCGTCCATGCCATTATCTATCTTCCCCATTTCATTTACAATGTGTTCGCTTAACGTAACCAGGTCGTCTTCATTAGGATTTTCATTCTCAGCTGTCTTGTCAAGGTCCTTCAAAAAGTGTTCAAGACCATTGACAACATCTTTTTCGATATCAGCTGCTTTATCTTCTATAGTCTTGTCTTGATGATGATCCAAGTCATTCAACTGTTGTTCAGCTTCAAATTCAGACAGTTTGGCGAGCTGGGTGATATCTATCCAATGATAGTGTTTTTTCTTCAATTCTTGCATTATGATATGGTGGTCATTTGTATTAAGAGCTCCCATCAGAACATCGTTCCAGTAAGATGACAATATCCCTGCTTTGTCTGTGAATTAATTAAATTAATTTCTTGAATTAAAGAATCAGAAGAATTTTTTTAATATTATTACTACTGTTTTAAACTTGAAGCTTTGTAATCGAGTTTCAATTATGATAAATTCATGTAAAATTTTTGATTGTTGCATGGGGTATCAGAATAATTTAAATTTTAAGATTAAAAAGTCAATAAATTTTAGATTGTTCACAATTTTTATTTTTGAATAAAATTGATTTAACTGACATTAGGCAACAAAAGCTAAGTAGTATATATAATATTTATGCCCAAACCAACCGTAATCCCAATGAATATAACATATGAATTTTACATGTGGGGTTCGAGTATTTTATTTTAAAATGATTTCGAAAAAGACAAGAAATCTATTTTGAGGGGCACTTATTCTGGCCTACTTAAACAAAATCATATTCTGTAAGGAATTCAGCCCTACGAAATTTGCCGGAGAGAAAAATTCAATGCTTCTTTTGGTTTTTTTCACTAAGCATCAGGGGGACATTGATATATCTTAATTGAGGGAATGCCCTGCTAGGGTGCTGGTTAAATAATCGTTTTCTGCAGGACATTGTTTAACTCTATATTGCGAAATGCCCTCCTAGTTTGCTACGCAGGCAAAACGTTTTCAGCAGGTTGTTGCTTTCTCCAGGTTAATTATTTAATGACAGTTAAAAAGTTAATAATTATAAAATAATAAAAAAGAGGTAATAATAAAGAAAATGTGATTCAAAAGACGCTTCACTGTTACTTTGCATCTGAAATAACATATCGTTAAAGAAATCAATCACAATCATTAATTTTTTAAGTTATACGAATAAATTTTTAGCATCCATCGGCTCTTTAAAACATGAGTTGTTAAATGTATGTTTTATTTGCTCACGGAATGCTATACTGATTCCCATTGAAGATGAGTCGTATTGTATACTGATATCACGATATTTATTATGATATCTTATACAACTTGCATAATGCTGATAAGATTTGAAACTCAAATGTGAAAAACAACAACTGATTTTGCATTATAGTAAGTTAACTGGCTCTTACCGCTTTTTTCGTTCGTGGCATTTGTAGGCATAGATTTCACGAGCAGACACTGATATGTCAGTAAGATAGTGATCCCGGCAAATAAAGAAGCAATCAAGTCCATGGTCCTAAAATAATTAGACGGGTTAATTGAATGGGTCAAGAAAATGTGATTAAAAATTTATTCTCATAATTTAATAATTAAATAAGATGTCTTTGAATGAAAACTGTTTAGAATAATAAAAGAATATGGAATAACAAACAGCAGTGAAACCAAACAAAGATGTATTCAAAGCATTATAACAGACTTGGTTTCTTTGAATTTATATAGAATTTATATACAATTTTATAGCTGTTAAAAAATAACACAAAAACATAGCTTTCTACATCATACATTAAAAGAATTAAAAATGTTCATGATAAAAATAATTTCATTGTACGCAAGTATTAAATATAAAATAAATAGATTACCTCTATGTAAGCGCGTAGAAGTTGTTTCTCTATCGTATATGCAAGTGTTCCAGCGCAATAACGGTTCCCGTCTCTTATATAGTCTTTTTTCCTGCTCATCGCCTAAATGTTATAGCCAGAACGCCGATCGCCATTGGTTACGGTAGAACTATTGCGTCTTTTCACACGTCATGTTCAAGTTTCCGTCAAACATTTCGAATTTCTGTGAACACTGTTATATTAAATTTAATAAGGTGAAATGTTGGTCATTGTTAAGTCAAAGAACGCCTTTGCACGTGAATTTGTTAACCTATATTGTACGGTGAATGTATAATTCTCACTATTAAAACTCGGCAATTTTCGTAACTTTCTGTGGATATCAATGTCATCGAAAAAGGAGATTTTTTTTAACAAAGAAAGGTAAGCAATTGGCTTCTTAAACCAAACTTCAAAATTTGTGTTGCATTTAAAACATTCACACGAGAAACACGTTCAATGCATGAGGATTATGAAATTGAGGCCCGTCTGTAAAACAAAAAAGGGATATAAATGGGGAAAAAAATGAAATGGATATTCAAATTTTGTAAAGAATTTTAAACTATATCGTTAAATTGTAAATTATACGTATCTAAACTGTGAACTTTTTTAATATAATACAGTAAGTCAATTGGTTTTTTTTTTTTTTTGTTTTATTTATTTATTTATTTATTTGTAAACAGGATAAAAGGAAGATAAAAGAAGAAAAGTAAAAACTTCGCTACTAAACACTGTGAATACTTGTGAAAAGGGTTATCTATGGCAAATTGCATCCTTAAAGAAATTAATATTAACAACTGCTGTTGTTTCAAGATAGAGAGTTGACAATATCAAACATAAGAACAAAAAAAGTAAACGTTTTGTAAGAATTAGCTATCACAGGTAATAAAACATTTTCTACATGTAATCGGGATATGATATAGCTCTAGGTCTTCACGTTTTATTCCCGTGAAAAGTAAAGAAGAGCTTGGAAACAAAAATGCAATAGAATGACACATAACTGATTGACACAATAATAACATAGCATATTTTTATCAAATTCTTCAATTACAAATTTAAACGGAGTAACATATTGCAAGAATCTAGACTAAATAAATTCAATTTTATCAGGATCATCAAACAAGAACTTTAGACTGGATAAATCAAGTTTGATATTAAGTAATTAAAGTAAGTCGTGTGGGATACTTGTACATAATAATGTCGAAGAGAAGTAATATGATTTTACTTGAACAAGATATTTCGCGGGTAATTTAGGATCTAATGTTGGTAAAACTTAAACAAATGACTCTGCACAGTTACACCGCTAAAATGGAATTTTAACGATGTCGTCACGTTGAAATATGATAAACAAGATCAACATTGAAAGGCGGCGTTCAATGGACTCAACCCCAACACGACCAAGCAACAAGAACCATCGGAAAACAGCTCAGGAGGACCTGAACAAAAACAGGACAGGGCGCAAGGCAAAGCACGGACAGGATAATCACTTTAATGATACTTAAAAAGAAATAATAGTAACTGACAAGGAAATTTAGTTGATCAAAATGTCATGGGAACACATAATCATTCATAAGGGAGCAAGAAACGTTGTTTGTCCGGTATTGTCGAGAAGGTTGCATAACAACTGATTTTATTGGTGATGATTCCTGTAATGTAGTATAAGCTGAAAATTTTGTTAACGACCTTCCAAATGGTATTGAAAATAACTTTGTATGACTGATATGAATTTCTTTTGAAAACAGTTGCTATATCGTACAATGAGATCAGTTTCATGGTTAGATTTAAAACTGATATTGGCTCTATTGTAAAGAAACAACAGCCAGATAAGATAACAATTCATTGCATGTCTCATTACTGCTTTAATCATTCCTTGAATAGGCTGTCAAATCTTTAAATTATTCTTGCTTACTTTATCATAATAGAAGCATACATCGAGCAATGTTTGATTTGAGAGAAAGTGCGTTTTAAATAGGTGATGACAACGGCCTAATTTGGCAACCAGGGTATGAGTAACAAGATGAAATGGTCACATTCCATTGGCTTTAGAACTACTTAGAGTTTCTTACAAATATAAAGTTTGGCATATTGGACATGTAAAGTAAGTTTCATTCATATTACAAACTGTATTATATATTTTACTAAAAATTTGTTCATTGAATACAAATGTATAGGTCTTTCCCAAATAAAAAAAATAAAATCTCATTTCGTAAGAAATAATGAAATAATATTCTTATGTGAAACATGGAGAAGTAAAATCATCACAAAAAAGAAGAATTAAATGACGTTATATCGTTCTGGCAGAAAATATCAGTATTACAGTGGTAGCCGCCCTTCAGCAAATATTGTTGTGGTTAAACTGAAAAGACGTGTAATACACCAGAATTTACTGACAACTTGGCCTCCTGTTGAATCTACTCTGATAAATCTAACTAATTGCATCTACTAGTATCTGTCAAAGTATAAGGTCAACTTTAACATCTGTGTAAGATAACCATTTAGTTTTATTACGACAAAAGGTCTAGCGTTGTTTCCGTGTAACGGCGGTCACTGATGCTTTTCACGTCTTTATTATATTATATGTTTTTTTATTATTTTTTATTAAAACATTACTTATTGTGTTAAGTATTTAATTACCAGTAGTAGCAGTGATATGACAATGGGAATGAATGGAAAGACTATACAGGCCCCAATTTCGAGCTTATTTTGCTGATGGAGAGGAGTTGGTTCAAGTTTCACGGGTTTGTAAGTTAGTTGCAAATTTGTCTTTTAAGTCTAACAATGTTTAATAGTATTAATACATAAAATGTACACTTCACAATTTAACAAATATTATCGAGTGTATATAAAAAAAGAGTCGGAAAAGAGTTTAACAATTTAACGATAATTAGGAAATAAGGAAAGCCGGTCGGAAAATTACGAGGGACAAATTAATACATTATGTACAATATGTCGTAAAAGGTTTATGAGTGAGGAACTAAATATGATGAGTGTTCACGAAATGAAATCTCCAGGCTATTCCTGCTGATGTTAGGTTTTCCACGTCAAAGTTAACGCTAGATTCAATGAGTTGCCGATGGACAAATAGGGACCGATGGTCAATATAATGTTATCTTGCATAAGTGGCCTAGGTGCAATTGTATAATTCTTTAAACGATAATCTATAAGCTTGGATAGTTGAACAAAATTGCAACAGAAGCAACTCAAACGCAAACATAATTTCAATAAGCTTTAAAAAAAACTCGGATGGATCTCTTGATGATTTTGAGATAGGTAAAATACTTTACCCGGAAATATCACAAGGGATATGTGTGTTCGGTTTAAAACAAGCCAGGTTATAACTTAGTTCTGTCATCATTTTTGGACAATCAAGCTGAGTTTCATACTTATATGCATGATCCCTGCATGGCCCAAGAAATCAAATCAATAATCCGTTAATACATTCAGATCGAATACAGTTAAAGGCCTAAAAGAGATAAAGGGTTCTGATAGACGAAAAGGCTGGTTGTCCGAAAATTACTTTCTTTTTAACTGCGAAACTGATATTAAGGATACTGTTGAACTTGAAGCATATTTTTTAAAAGGCTTTCACGATATAGTTATTTATCTTATATTTTATAGGTTAGTAGGCTTCAAAGGTGTGCCGTTTAAGCCAAATAACAAAAACTAAATGTATCACAAAGCAACAATGTCATGATGAACAATCTTCAAGGATGAGTGTTTTGTATGGCGTAAATGAATGAGCATCTTGCAGAATAGTAGCAGTAGTAATTTGAAAAAATGTATTTCATTTATCTACTCTACACCTAAGTTAGCCCATCCATTTATCTGAGCAAAACAAGTGATATTTTTAGAGATATTCTAGAAAAGTGTAATAACTGGAAGCGACACTCTTACTGTACGAATGTGCCAGCTGAACTTGGTCTGCGCTGGTCACTGGGACAGAATTTCTTCTCGCAAGCTGGTCAAGGATTGATTAAAAATGTATTCTTTTTTTTTCAATAAAATAATAGTGATGCAGTTTATTCAAGTAAGCCTAATTGAATGCTACTAAAGAAGTGGTAAAAACGTGGTAAAAAAGATTGTTCGGAATACCTCTCATTTTTTGCATTAATAAAAATATTCGGAACATGTGATATTTATTAATGTTAATATAATATGGTCTCATAATGTATCTTTATTTCAAGAAATACGACGTTGATGAGTTTTTTCTCATTTCCCCCCCCCCTTTTAATTTTCTTTTTTTGTGGTGGCTGTTACGGGATTTGTGGGTTTGTTTTACATTGCAATAAACAAAGTAAAGGTTTTGGCGACTTTACAGCTTTACAGGCGAAAGAAGCCACGAATGTCCCTCCATACAAAATTGCAGGCACGAACAAACACCTTAGAACAACCTCCGAAGTTACGTCGGTAGAACGGCGAGGACTTTCAAGCATCGGTAAAAATGGTAATATTTGTAGTTATACATTTGTAGTACTGTAACAATTCTTTTCAAGTAAGAGCTTTTTCTGTTTTGACGTCATTATATGGCGGATCACCATATCTTATTTTTTAAATTAAGAAATTAAATATCCAAAACAGTGATTTTATCGCTCAATAACATCACTGTTTGAAGTTCGGATGCGAGGAATAATATCACGA